ACCATCATGCAAGAGGGTCCGAATAAGTGTCCGAATGTTTAAACCCTAATGTATGAGAAATGGTGATTAAATACCATAATTACATATCTAGCATGTGCATCCAATTGTTGCCCCCAAATGGCCCCGTTTTCGCCTTTTTTCATCACATTTGTTTGTCTAAATATGTAACCATGCATCCTATTGGATCCTCCTAAGCTTTTTGATTCAAAGCTGCCTGGCCTCTAAGAAGCTGAGATAACATTCAAATAACTTATGTTGTGTGCCAATGGTAACAAATGAAAAAGAAGAAAAAAAAAATGCAGCAACTTCTTATTATTAGAATCACATGTTCAACAAGCATGCAAATAAAGGTGAGGAACCAATATACGTTTTGCACCGTAGTAGTAAGTTGATCCTATGCCCAGATTTTATGGGTCTCGCACCATGCCGATGCCAACCATAATGAAGAACTGCATGTCCCGGAACATGGGAATAGTCTAAGATTTCCTATGAATGGAAAATAATAAACTCCAATAAGTGATGCAAACAATAAGGTTGAGAACAATGAAATTAAAGAAGTGACAAAGTTCGGAAATTGCTTGGTTGAAATACAAATCCACTCAGGACCAATTGGAATCATGTGTACTAAAGTTTTTAGCCTTTTTAGAGTATAGATTTATAGTTATTTAGGCTGGGTATTAAACTAGTTATTTTCTTACAAGTTTGATAGAATTTCATAAGGGTATTTTGGTAATTTGCAGGCATGGGTCGTACTGCCCATCTATAGTCTTGGGAGTCAAGATAAATAATTGTTTGTTTGTTTTTTTCGAGTCTTACTTTTATAAGTTTTTGGAAATAAAAATCTAATCCCCTATGTAGTAATAGTACTTAGAAGTCCTAATCCTAGTCAGTGTAGGAAATTCCTTAAAGTCTATAAAGCAATGTAATTTAGTTTAATTCAACAGAGAACATGTTTTGATTGTCAGACTTTTGAAGCTCTTTATGAAATGTGACACAATCAAACCCCAGGTGAGATGCTTAAGGCTCCTAGGAGTGAATTCTAGAATTTTCTTCTTCTTGTTATTTTTCTGCATCTTAGCTTCTAATAACACCAAAACCAGATTTAAACCATCTTTTTTCCATCATTAAACGCGGGCATTATTATTACTTCCCTCAACCTTCCAATCCTAGAACCATAAGGTACTCAAACAGCGTATTTTGTGGTTCAACCTACCTGTTATTCTCACTAATTATAATTACATTACAAGAGTTTGTGGTTCAAATAAATGTATATGAGAAAATAAGGAGGTACACCTTTTGTTTATAAACAACAGAGGGCAACATATGGCCTTGTGAGTATCCTACTACAAAATGAAACAAAGAGTAAGAAAGCAAAAGGCATAACATTTGTTGGTTTGGGATGTTCTAAAAAAGTGCACTTTTTGACTTATTGGCTTATATGGATTGGGTTTGGGTTTGGTTTGATGTGATGTGTTAGAGAGGTGATGTGATTTAAATAAGATGATGTGACTTAAATAGGATAGTGACTTTTTGACTTTTTGGCTTTTTTAGGTTATGCCAAACCTACTGGCTCGAAAATTTAGAAAAAACATCTTTGTGGAGTTTTCTTATTGTTATTATTAAATGATGAAAATCTTGCAGAGTACAATGTCTCACAGTGAGCCTTCTTGACAAATTCAAGTCAATGAGACTATTATTGACAAACAAAAAGACCACTAAATGAGTAAATAGGAGGTTGGCTTGCAGGCTGTGCCTGTTTCAAAAGCCAGAAGGGTGAAGACCTTTCTATGACTGCAGACCAAATAAAAGCTTTTGATAAAGATGTTTACTTAATTGCAGTCAAATATCACTGCTTTTAATGATAACATACCTCTGATTGAGTTTCTGCATTGACATGATCTTCACATCTGACGCCCCGAAAGAACAATTCTCCACCAGAAAATTGCTTGCCCAAGCAAACATTCAAAGTAACTTCTGAGTCATCCACATGGAAACCTATAAAGGTAAATTATTTTCAGATTCTAAAGTCCAAACAACAATGCAATTACTTTCATGTTGAGAATATGGAGCACAAAACACAAATAAAGAAGCATACAATATTTTTCTATTTATGTAAATATAGATGATAAAATTATAGAGATTGAAGAAACATAGCGAGAAAATATGCACATCAAACAAAAACACTATCCATTTTGAACCAAAATGTACAGGACAAACCAAGTATCATGATGCTAGAACCCAGTGTAGATAGGATTATGGAGGTTTGTTGAAGTGGAAAAACTCATCCAGAGGCACCAGAAACTCAAGGGGGCCTGGGAGAGAGATGTACCAGTCCAGCCGAAAGAGAGTGAAAGAATCTAAAACTTACATACAGTTCTCTGTGAAAGTACAGAGATCCAGAACTTGAAATAGAAGCCTCAATCTGAGTGTTGTAGTCATGACGTAAGAGAAGTATGCCCATCTATTCATAGAAGGTGAGCACAAGACTATAACTATATGTATGAGAAGGCTGGCAACAGTAGGGAAATCTGTTAGGTTGCTAGAACTGTCTCTTGGCGAGGGATTGCAATGGTGAAGTCTCTCTCTTAGTTGACTAGCCCAAGGTAGCTTGACCCATGGGGGGGTAGAGCACTGTAGCGAAGCCTTCATCTTTAGCCTCTATTCCATAAGACCCTGCAGTCTCACAGTACATGTTAGGCAACTACCTCATCGCCTAGGTGAGTAAACAGGTGGTGTAACTCCTGCAGAAAGTAGTCATGAGGTGTGACCTACACTTCCGAGTCTTTGACTCTTGTGAGACGTGAATATTTTACTCTCACGGGTGTCAAGAAGGAAACTGAAGCACACAATTAAGTGTTGTTGGTCCTCTTAAGTTTCTTTGGTGTGATCAAACAAGTGTTCCTCGTCACCAGACATGAGTAGGTGTACATGATGACATGTAAAGCACACATCATTTCACAATTTCCAATTTCTCCACATCAGGCAAAAATTAGAGTTCTATAAAAGCTTGGTGCACTAGATGAACTAATAAACTATACCAAGCATTGTCCAAAACATGAAGAAAGCTGCGAGGACCATCCATCGGTAACACAGGCAAATTCTAGGTTGCATCATTGTCCCAAGCAGAGAAAGAACTTGTCCTTAAGGTTAGTGTCAATTTCATTTATGCCCTTGCTATTGACCTAAGCAAGAAACCAAAAATCTATACCTGAACCAATCACACCGATGGACTAGGCATTTACTTATTTTATATAATTACCATGCCAAGGGGGTATACATAATTTTGGCCTATTTAGAGCAGTGGTGAGCTCATATTCTCAACTAGGGGTGGCATTGAGTGTTAGATCCTCAGGCTTCTATGACTCAAAAACAAAAAACAAAAAACAAAATAAGCAAAAAAGTCATTTGTGACTTTCCAAAAAACACACTCAGTTTTTTAGTTGCAGATCCAATGGCAGCAATCCAAGCTGATAGTCTGTTTTATTTATGCCAGGTTAGATAGTTCTGCAGCATTTATCAAATTATATAATTCTCCATCCTACTTAAGTTCAAAAGAAGGTTAAATTAAAATAGACACTTAGTACACTACATTCCAGAAAATTATAAATTAAAATAAGAAAAGAATTTTGCAAACTCAAGTTATGATACTGGTGTCAAACCAAAGCCTCAACAAAAGAAACTTCAACAACATGTATGTCTATTATGCCAATTAACGGCAAACATAATCTTAATATTACTTAAATAGAGCATTACGTGTAAAAATGTGTAAACAATCATCATATGGAGGAAGGATAGTTGAAGAGATCACCCACCCAGTTTTAGATCCCGCTGTTTTCCATACTCGACCACAAAACCATGATGAGAATCTAGCGTAGATCCACCAACTTCAGGAAAGAAAACTGCAAAAGATTAAATTAGATTAGATGAAGAATAATAAAAAGATTTAGAGGATATCTAATACATCATTCAGCTTAGTATCTACTTTTCAAATTAAAAATTAATCAACCCACTACCTGTAGATATAGGGCGTATAAAGTCTTCCATCAACTTCTCGAGCATGTTTTCCAAGCCAAAGTCATCAAGGACAACACCATATTTATTCATTGTATTCGGCCGCATGATTCTGAATTTTGTTTCATGAACCCACCTTTCGAAATTTTCTACCTAATCAATCAGAACCTGATAAGAAAACAAAAAAGCTAAACTACAAGCAAGAATAAAATTTAACATACTAGATTACAAAAACAAAGATAGGTGATACCTCGGACATCAACAATTCACAGAAACGAGGCTGAAGCATTTCAAACGTAAAAACTCCCCGAGAGGGTTCTCTCATTATACTTCTGAAACTCTCCTCCGTATTCTCAATGACTGCCTTGAGAAACGAGGGTACAAAGAAGTTCGCAGCATGCATAGTGTATAACTCCCCATGTAGAGGCTGCATAGATAAAGAAACAACTGAGAAGGAAAGAGATGAATACAACAATAAAGCAATTTAGTTTTTACAAGTAATCCGCTGAGGAAAAAATAAATAAAATATGAGAAGAACAAATGCAAATTTGGAGCTTCACGTGGAGCACACTTTGAGCTTTATAATATTTAGTGTCAAATTGAGTCCTATTTTTATGTATTTGGTGGTAGCTAGAATGCTTGTGAACAGATTTAGGCTAATAAAGCTCTACTGGTTAAGAAAATATTGATATTTTTGCAAATTATTCAAATAACAATTGTAGTGGTTGACTGTGGGTCATATTACGGCCAAGTTTGGCAATCACCTAATATAGCCAAAAAGTCAACTCTTCTTTCTACTTTTCTGTACGTCTTTTCGTAAAAATTCAAAAAGCTAACTAAAATAGCTAGTTCCCAAAACAACCAAATGAACGTTTGTAACAGATTAGTGCTTTGGATGTCCGATTACTAGAGGCAATTTTTGGAATTGCAATATTTGGTGAGGGTAAGGTTGGAATTTTAGTGCTTTAATGCCTCAATAGTAAACAAGCCAAGGGATTGGCTAAACAACATTGCACATGGAGGGATTATATATCCCCCCAATCCCACCTCACTTCTAATCCGGTGTTATATCCGCCCATTTAGTCTCAGCAGCCAAAAAGGGCCTAAAAAAATAGAAGAGATAAATGGATCCTCAAGTATATTATTTTCTTATTAAAAAAAATCACAAGTATATTACCCACTAGATTTCTAGCTTAACAGATTCTAAATTTTTTCAATTTCCTTATCTTTGGGGTTTGTCCAGGCTTGCTTTAACACATGAGGTTTCTCCTCTAGCCTTTAAACATTAATCAGACAGTGAAACTAATAAGCTAATCATATTTTATCATATGGACAACCAAAATGCTTTTTAGATAAAAATGTTATAAAGTCATCAAAGTAGTTCAAATTATGGAAAATAAATACCTGATAGTTTGATATTATCTTCTGCCTGTATCTTTTATGCCCCTGAACCTGTTAAAACGTAGTGCAAATCAATCAAGAAATGGACACTAATAGCAGAAGAAAATTGTCAGGGAAATTCGATAAAAAGATAATCATGTCTGTAAAGATAGTACACTTGTCCATAAAGAAAGACCCACTGGTAACCAAATGATCACCATTACAGGACTCCCCTAAGGAAGACCCATCTAATTCTGCTTCTTCATAGATGGAAATAATGGAACAATATAACTAAATATGTATCAAATTAAACAGATGAAATATGAGTGAGGTTTAGCTTGAGGTTCAAAAAGTAAAAACATAATAATAAATTCAATTTTTGCATATACACAATATATGGATGGATAGATGAAATATGAGGTCTAGCTTGAGCTTCAAAAAGTAAAAAAATATATAATACCTAAACTATCCCTTTAAATACAAATTAAACAAAATAAAAAGATACAGGTATCCTCACTCCACTTATTTTCTTTCTTTTCTCATCTACCGATCCAAACAATCATTACTTAAGATCAAAGCAATCACACTCCGTTTACATTGACACTGCTGTGTTTGGTTAGGGATTTGGGAAGGGATTTGAAAATGAAAAAGAAAAAGATAGGTAAAATGTGATACATTTCGCTTAATTTCACATACATTTTCGCATAAATGCTTTCCAAATTTCTAACCACACACAACGTAAGGGGTTTGGTGAGAAAAGAATCATTTCTTTTCTTTTCTCACCTCTAATCATTTCTTTTCTTTCCGCATCGCTCGATCCAACCTGAGCGTAATGAAGATCAAATATAACACGTGTATTAGCAAATACAAATAACTCCAAAAGTGGAAGAAAAAGCCCAATTAATAAAAGGAAATAAGACCCACACAGGTACGGAAATTCGAACCACTGCCCATTGAGATGCACAAGTTCTATGTTAGAATATACACAGAATCAAGGTTTTGACCAAATTTGATGATTAAAAAATATATGTTATATGGAGATGCTATAATAACAATAATAATGTATACTGACTCGAGTGAGTTCGCCTTCGGGTAAATATTCATGCATAACCCTCCTCATCTGCCGAAACTTAATACTGTCGCAAACAAAATTCTTGAGGAATGGAGTGAGGTAGCTCTCCATAGAGCTGAAGAGCAGAGGACTGAACTCCGATTGCATGTCTTCGTAGCTGCCAGGTTTGTAAGCTGGTTCGGGGTTTAAAGTCAGACAAGTAGGGAAGATCTGCTTCGGAAACATAGTCCAGTAGGCAATTCCTCTACTGGAGATCATCTGAGTCTGCTGCTCCTCCTCCTTCCTTTCCACTGACATAGTTCTAGAGAGTGAGTGAATGTGTTTATTTGGAGAGAGATGATGGAGAATCGGGAGACAATGGGGATAGGAGATTATGGAAGCATTTTTAGAGAGAGGGGGTTTGGTTTGGTCGGAATTTTAGGGTTTTGGGAGTTCAGGTCATGCTTGCTTGCTGCTGGTCAGTTCCGAGTCTCCATATGACTTTGCCGCTTGAAATGGGTGGTAATCAAAAAATAATTAGGGAAATTTCTAAAGAGTAAATTATAAATAGCCATGAAATTTATAGGGGAATGGGAAGGTGTGAATATATTTTTAATTTTTTATACAATGATATATAAAAAATAAAGAAGTAATGTAATTTATAAAATTATAAAAATGTACATTTTAAAGGGTGGTTTGAAATAATTTAAATAAGTATATTTTTTGACTTTTTATAAAATATGAATTGTATGTAGATTGGGTTTAAAGTGATAAGATAGTGACTTTTTGACTTTTTAAGTTATGACAAATAAGGCAATGCCTTACTTAAAATATGATTCGTCTTTCATAATTTTATAAATTAGAATTTGTCTATTAATTATTTTAGTTTCATAATAGGCGGTCTTTTTTATTAAATCAATTAATTTTTTTTTGAGTATTTTATCAACCAGTTCTATTAGGTTTATTTACGTACAGGTCTTAACTGATAAATTTATCATTGTAAATTTATTCATTGAAATAAGAGAGAATGATAAATTTATCAATAGGACTTAATGAGTAATAAGTCTCAAAAGAAAAACTTATTGGTAATTTATCCTAGTTTGTAATGATATTATTAATTTATTTCAATTAATAATTCAAGTGATTTTATCATTATATAGGAGAACAATTAAAAATTTTATTTGTTTAGTTAATTTTGTTAAATAAAAAAAAGCCAAAGAAATATTTGTAATTTTCTAAATTACGTGGAGCAATTTATATTTTAAATAAAATTCAAGAAGTGTTTCTAATTTATCCATTTCAAAAAGAGATAATTGTTGAAATGTTCAATCTAACAATTGCTTAAGACATTAGGTTTAGTAGATATTTTTTATTTGTGAGATGTCTACTTTTTGTGAAATACTTTGGCGAGAAGTTCTTTTATTAGTTTTGAAAGAGATTTTGTTTTCAATTTTACCCCTTATCTATATGTTGAAAATTTTGAACTATCTATTCAAATTTATATCTATTTATTTAAATTTTTTGCTATCTATTTAAATTTGTATCTATCTGTCCAAATTTTTTTGATTATTTCAAATTTTTTAACTATCTATTCATTTTTTTTGCTTGTATGTCCAATTTTTATTTGTAGTTTCTCTTTTCATTTCCTTTTGCACTCTTTATCTGTTGAAAAAGAAAAAAAAAAATGAAAGGGTAACAAAAAAAAAAAAAAAAAAACTATTTGTTGCATCAACAACAATAACATCTCTCTCACTCCTCACCAACAAATTTCAAAAGTTCACCAACAAATTTCAACAGATCACCCACACACCCAACATATCACCAATGGAGAATGTTTCTTTAGAAAGGAAAGGTTATTATGTGCACCCCTTTGGTATGCACTTTATACAAAAAACTTAACTTTTACCATGAGAAAATATGATCATGAAAAGTATAAGTTTGTCATTCATAACTTAGGATGTACACCATAATTTTGTCATTTATGACTTTTATCACAAAAATCATAAATTCCACCACAAAAATTCGTAACTTTCACCATAAAAATTGTAATTTTTCTTATAATGTAGACCTTTTAAGAGTGTATATTGTCGCATTTCCCCTTTAGAACTTGGAATTAAATTAATAGGAAAAATAATCCATATACTCTACTCAAAGTGATTAAGGGTTTAGAGTCCAATTGCAAATGGTCCATTCCTTAATTTGACTAAATTTACACAATATGAAAATTAAAAGTGAAAATTTGATAAAACCTACCTTTATATGCTCATAAAGAAGATTTTGTACATAATAATGCTATGCAAACAAACAAAACTTATAAACTTTTTATACAAATTAATGTGGCTCCAAACATGTTAATTTACTGAATCCCTTTTCAAATTCTTAAATTATTCTTTTGTATGTTACATCAATTTTTAGAAAAAAGTATTTACAAAGTTTTAGTAAGTACATCATTTTCCTTCCTTAATAGCAGGAAGCTCTATTACATCAGATCTTTTGTTACATCGCTTGAGGTGTTGGGTCATGAATATAAATCAAATTTCCACAATGATGCAATATTTGAATAAATAACATGTGTGTTGTCATGTATTGATTGCCCTTTTTTCATATCACTCTGTTATCATCCTTCATAGAATGTAATTTTGTAACTACTATTTACAAGGTTAGATGGATTGAAACACATACAAAACTTGTATTTGGATTGTTCATTCATTAATGCTGTGTTTGGTTGAGGGATTTGGGGAGGGATTTGGAAAGGGAAAGGGAAAAGGAAAAGGTGTGTGAAATTATGTGAAATATAGGCATGATTTATTCACATTTCACCTACCTTTTCCATTTCCCTTTCCAAATCCCTTCCCAAATCCCCCAACCAAACACAGCATAAGAGTTTTCTTTATAGCATTAGAGTAATGTTTTCCCTAAAGGTGTTGACATTGTGCAGAGTTGAGCTTAATGGAAGCCTACCTGACGAAGGTATTCACGAGTATTCACACTACTGATCATATTCCTTAGATTAATTCTTTTGCCATGTGAATGTACCTTCAATTAACTAATTTCCATTCAGAAAAATATCCAAGCTAAGTATCACTTTTATTTGACAGGTTGGTTTGAACTTTCTAACCTGCATGAGTTAGATCTCAATGAGAATGGTTTTAATGGAACACTTCCCTCATGTTTTGGACGCTTAACATCAATGCAATCATTGGACCTCTTCTCAAATCAGTTCATCAGAAATCTTGCCTTGCCTCCACTTATTAGTCTCACAACAATTGAATACCTTTTTATTTCTTATAATCATTTTGACATCCCACCCTCATTTGTCTCATTTTTTAACCATTCAAAGCATAAGGTACTTGTAAGTGACAACAATAGATTGAGTGGCCAAATTGAGTTTCAGACATGGATTCCTAGGTTCCAACTATAGGTTTTCAGTTTATCAAATTGTGGATCATACAAGCTGTTGGAAAAATGGTTTTTTTTTTTTTGGTGACTGTAATTAAAAATTAAAGTGGGTCCCAACCATCTATTGTGAATGGCCAAAAACCATTGAGATTTGAATGAAAAATTACCTCATGAAGTTAGCTTCATGGAAAAAAGGTAATGAAGTTTGTAACTCCTGCCTTTATTGTAGAGGTTAATGGTGCATTATGAACAGCCATAAAGGCTGGAGGCTCTTCCTCTCTCCCTTATACATGTATAAATTGAGACCTTCCTGTCAAGTCGACATTTGTATAATGTTACTAGGAACTGTTGTGGAATTGCTCCCTATTTCAATTATTGTAAATTATGCAATGTGATTCTCTAATTGTTTAGTTTAATTAGAATGCTCTATCATAATTTGTATACTTAATTGTATTACTCTGATCTTATTTTATGAGTATGGTTCATCATTCCCCTTTTATGATTTGCATGAATTTTATTGATGTTGCAATTTTGACATGCTAATTCTATTCTATTCTAGGTTTTTAATTTGTTACATGCTTATTATTTTCTAGACTAGATTACATGATTTAATCTTTAGAATTTTTGCATGTTAATGGTTGAATGGTTATATACTTGAAGTGCTTGGTTATTAGTTTATTACATATAAACAATGCAAATTATTTACATAAACTGCATGCTACTTATTTGGTTTCATCCTATTTGTTTAATGTTGCATATGTATATTTTGATTTTGCATGCTTCTAGCTTTACTATCTAATTTTCATGTGAAATTGCTTCTAGTTTTCTAGAGTTATACACATAAGTTATTTCCATGAATAGTGTATGATTTAATTGGATGAATTAAAGTTTGAATTAAATGTAGTTCTTTGGAGTTATAAAATTTGTGTAACTTGCCTATATTTATTTACATGGTTATTGTGAATTAAATTCTTATATAATTTATGGCAATTAATTTTTTAATTTAATGTAGAAGTTATAAGGTTTTGTAACTTGTATAGTATCTTAATTCCTTAGTTATTTTGCTATTCTATGATTTGCTAGAAGGTTAAATAATATTTGATTGTATGTACAATTGCTTTATATTATGTTGTCGTTTTCTACTAACTTTCTTTGTAGGCATACCTAAGCGTAGAAAGGAATTGTTTGGACTACTTATAATCCTCAATTGGATTGGTTATTTTTCTTTATGTTTGCAGAAATGTTTTTCTTGAGATTTAGTTGGTTTGTTTACCAATTTGTAGTAGCAAGTTTTATTTGCTTATTAGACGCATTTTATATACATGTATTTAGTTGTAGCAATTTTAAATTGTTTGCAAGTTTAAATTGCTTGTAAGTTTGGATTTTGGTTTGGTTTTCTGGAATAGAAACCAAAGTGTTTAGCCTTGGCTAAAAAGGAGGTTTTATTTGTTCGAAATGGCAACTATCACTGATGCTGCTGCTACTACTAATGTTGGTGGGGATCTGAACCCCGGGGCAACTGGGTTGCCAACCCTTACTGTTGTGACCTCTGTGGTCAACCATGGCGTTATTCCGGCTGTTCCAGGAGGACCGCTCAGTCATCATGAGCGCTCAGAGAAATTTGCTGGGGTGAACTTCAAGAGATGGCAGCAAAAGATGCTGTTCTACTTGACCACGCTAAACCTTGCAAAGGTTTTGAGCGAGGATCCTCCAGCCGTGGCAGAGCATGAGCCTGATAGGCAGAAAGTCATGGCGCTTGACACATGGAAGCAGACAGACTATCTTTGCCGGAACTATGTGTTCAACAGCTTGGCAGACTCACTCTATAGTGTGTTTTGTTCCAAGAGCTCAGCATATGAGTTATGGAAAGGCGTTAAGCCTTCGTATAAATTCTTACGAATGTGGGGGTGTCTTGCAAAAGTGGCAATTTCTACACCCAACGGGTTAGGATAGGCCCGAAATCCGTGGATTGTATATTCATTGGTTATGCACATAATAGTAGTGCATATCGATTTCTTGTACATAAGTCTGAAATTCCAAACATACATAGGAATACCATTATGGAGTCAAGGAATGCATGTTTCTTTGAAGACATTTTTCCTTACTGAACCCATGAAAGGGTTCCAAGGTCTTTGGAGAAATTTGATGA